TCTTTGGAAAAGTTCACTAGAATAAAACAAGAAGCAAAGTGATTTAAGACTAAAAAATCCTTCTCGCAATTAAGACTGTCTGGAGGTAATTAATCTTGTAGATTTTCTCTTAGGTCTGCATATTGAAATTTGTTGCTTAAGCTGAGTGGGTGTGTGTATGTTGATGTGTGGGGTGTGTGGGTTTGAGTATGGGTGTGGGTGTGGGTGTGGGTATGTGGGTATGGGTGGGTGTGGGTGGGTGTGGGTGTGGGGTGTGGATGGGCGTGGGTGTGAGTGTGGGTGTGGGTGTGGATGTGGATGTGGGTGTGGATGTTCCCTTCACCCACCCACACCCACTCCCACACACCCACATCCACACACCCACACCCATACACCCCCCACCCACGCCCCATACCTACACCCGAAAAGTTCTGTCATAATATCCTATGTTGGCAATCTCATTGCCTTTGAATTTTCAACAAAATAGCTGAATAAGATGTCTTCTATGACTTTATTTTTACTAACTTTTATGCAGTTGACGATTTTTTTCTGCATTCCATCGCAACCAACAAGTCAATATTGATCATCGATGAAGTCTTTTTCCAGATTCTACGCTGCTAACGTTTCAGAGTATCAGCATACGCCGATTAAAATATGAACTTTGTCTGTTATGTAGGTCTGTAGATGCAAACAAGTCAGCTATATTATCGTTAATTTAGTCGTCGATTACAAGAAAATTCTCTATCATGATTGTCGTCATTGTTCAGTGTAATCATTTTCGCAAGCTAAGAAAAATTTCCAGAAAACCTCTATGTACATTATGAAAAATTTAATAGACATTCGTGTCACACTGGAAAAACAATTGAAAGTCCTAGAAAATCGATTCTTAAACATTCGTTCAATTTTAACGATCTCTTCAATATACTGGTATTTCATACATAGTCTATAGATTTCCACGAAAAAAGATGCTTGTGAATTGATGGGCATGGAGAGAACAAAATTAATGTAATATGATCAATAGTGCTGAATTGATTTTAATGCATTTTTATTGATTCAAACTCGTCAATACAGAGGTAAAAACCTCTTGATGGGATGCTAACACATCGAAAGAAAGAAAAAAAATGAAGAAAATGCCATATTAATTTTTTTTGCAGCTCTTTGTTTACATATTCTATCTTCATAGTGACACTCACTGTACACATATGAACGGAAGGAGAAAACAAATCATCAATGGCAACAATAATAGAACTCTGCCAATTTATGTTTTTGTTTCGTTGCCTTGTTCGCTGTTAATGTATTTTTTATTGTTGATCTTTCTTGTTTGTCTTAGTTACATTTTCAGAAAAAGCCCTACAGAATCATGTAATCAACGTTATGGTCAATTTTTTTCTTGATTCACGGAAAAACTTGTGTTTGTGCAAAGACATGACATGCGCTACAACGACGAAATTTTTTTAATCATGCCTTCAATATTGCTGTTTATTTTAGTATTAAAAAAAATACTTGGTATACTTTTCATTATTTATTATTATTATAGACATATTTCTAGCGATGAACGTATGCATAGGACAGAAATTTTCTCAATGTGATAATTACTCGAACAACCATAGAACACAATGCATATAGCTGAAGGTTCAGTATAATGTGAACAGTTTTTCTCTAGGCGTATCACTGGTTAATGATGTACAGAACACTTGACAAAGATAAAAATGGTTGCTCGATTATTGCTACAATCAACATTGAATTCATTTTTCTGGCTGTTTTCATTCATATCATCAAAATGTTCATAATAATCACAAGGAAAAGAAATCGAACTGACGGTGTCTTCGTTGCTTTTTTCGTTTTTGCCCTAAAAAGAAAAAAAATCGTTCTGAGAGAATCAAAGAAAAATAAACAATCTATGTCACAAGGTATCCAATGCAATGACAGTTAAGTGTCATTGTACAGATTGAAAAGTAAACGAAATAGTGGTATGATATATCGATATATATAAAGAAGAATGTTTGTCTGTGCGCTATTCACTTGGACATGGTATGAGCAAATGCAATGAAATTTTGCAGGAAATACCCTTTCGTCCAGGGGAAGGTCATAGGGTGGTTTTCAACCCAAAACTTTCACCTGAGAGGGGTGTTTGTCCCCTTCTTTTGTTGAATTACTACAATAAATGCCTTTTCTAGAGAGCCTGTGCGTGTCATTGTTTCTATCTATATACCATAAGGAAAAAACGTGCATATGAGTCTTTTTTTCTAGCTCACAATGATGGCATATTTGTTCTTTTTCTTGACTCACAATACACATGGTTCCTGCTGATATGCCTTTTGAATTCAAACGTCTAAAATTTCCAGTTCGTCTCGCCTTCGCGATATCCATCAAAAAAGTTCAAGGACAGTCTCTTAAGATTGCCGGCATTAACCTAGAAATCCTTTGCTTTTCTCACGGTCAACTTTACGTGGCATGTTCAAGAGTTAGTAATGATATATAATAGGACTTATATATATTAAATGAAATAAATTAAAATAACATAAAATAAAATAAAATAAAATAAAATAATGTTCGAAGTATATATCTATTAATTATATAATACTTAGGTCAGTCCAAAAGTAGTGAGAGTAACGCTTTAATGCCATATAGTAAACTGAAGGAGAGTTTCTTTTATTATGAAACGATAGAGAAAAAAATTCTCTATCTTTCTATGCTATTTGATCATACTTTAGTTAATATTATGATAGAAAAGTTTTCATAAGATTCGCTTTGGTATTATATGTTTTGGTTACGACACTACATATAGTCATCCATATGAGTTCGATTCTTAATTTTTTTTCCTTTATTCTGCTCCTTTCTTTCTCTTACGTTTTTCTTTATTATCTTTTCTATTGCCAGACAACTTTCTGTGTGTATTAATACACATGTCTTTTCCTGTCCGTAAAGAAACTTTGTCCAGTAACGTGTTTATAGGAAAATTTGTGATATAGTGACTTAGTGGCCACGTGCCTGCCCACGTGACTGTCCGTTGTCCAGTGTCACATGAGCATTCTAGAACTTTCTATTGTAGTCTTATCCTTTTGGTCATATCAAAGTGTTCTCGCGCAATGTTCTGGAATGTTCGATTTCAGATACTATATATACTCCTCCTTGTCACTGTATCTCTCAGTTGTTCTATCTTCTACTTCTCAGTCAGTTACTCTATACAGTCTTATTTGTTACTTATTCACGTTTGAACAAACAAACTTTTCGAAATCCCGATTTCTGCTCGACAACGAACTTGGATTGAAGACGTGGCAGAGTTGAAGAAATATAGTCAGATTCAGTCTTAGAATAGCTGATTTCTGTTACTGATGGATAAGGAAAATTATCGTTTCTACATTAAAGTGCGTACCGCACTTGGTATTTCACCAACACTTATTCGTGATGAATTAATGACAGTCTTCGGCGACGAAGCTCCATCCTACGCGACTGTTGCCAGATGGGCTCAATGGTTTCGCGAAGGTCGAGAAGAGATCGAAGATGAAGCGCGACCAGGAAGACCAATGACCGAGACGACTGATGAAAATATCGAACAAATTCACGACGCTATTAATGACGACCCATATGTGACAATTGAGGAGCTGCAAGAAAATACTGGTCTGAGTCATGAGACTATTCATAGAATAATCTCAGATCATTTGAAACTCAAAAAATTTACGGCTCGGTATAGACCCAAACGCCTGACCACTTCTCAATGGGCTGAACGAGTTCGAATATGTAAAGAAAATTTAGCAAAATTCGAACAAGGAACGTGGAGATTATGCGATGTGGTGATGGGGGATGAATCTTGGTTTTATCATAAACAAATTGGTCGGAAAGCATCGAATGCTGCTTGGGTGGCAACGGGAGATCGCCCACCAACAATTGTTCGACGTAGTCGTTTTGCTCCGAGAACATCGTTATGCATTTTTTAAAGTCAACAGGCCCCGTTTTTATCCATCGTATCGAATCTAGGCAGACTATCGACCACCAATATTACATAGAAAATTGTTTGCAGCCCCTCATCTACGAACTCAAGAGCCAAAGACCTTCATCTGGAACACATGCTGTGAAAATTCACTATGACAATGCTAGACCGCATAGACATAGAGCCGTGTCTGATTATCTGCCATCACAAGGGTTCACAATAGTACCACATCCATCCAATTCTCCAGATCTAGCACCTTGTGACTTCTGGTTATTCGACTTGATCAAACAAAACATAGGTGATCAAAGCGATTCCGACTCGTTACATCGTGCTGTGATAGATTTCATATACTCTTTGGATAAAAAAGAGTATAAAAAAACGTTTGATAAATGAATTGAACGGATGAAACTGTGTGTGGATAATGAAGGAGATTACTTTGAGCATTTAATGAAATAAAACCTTGATGAAAATTCTTTGCTGTCTCTGATCTGTGATCGTCACCTGATGTCTATCCTAATGCATAACGACGCATGAGCGTAGAAACGATAATAACGAAAAACATAAGAAAAAGAAAGAAGCAGAATAAAGAAAAAAAATTAAGCATCGAACTCATATGGATGACTATATGTAGTGTCGTAACCAAAACATATAATACCAAAGCGAATCTTATGAAAACTTTTCTATCATAATATTAACTAAAGTATGATCAAATAGCATAGAAAGATAGAGAATTTTTTTCTCTATCATTTCATAATAAAAGAAACTCTTCTTCAGTTTACACTATGGCATTAAAGCGTTACTCTCACTATTTTTGGACTGACCTAAATAATTTTAGCTACGCTGAATGATAATTATTTTTATAAGTCTTTTTGTGCTGATTATGTTTTTACTCAACGTTTATCTTATTTTTCTCTCATAAAATGTTATTATTTCATACAATCAATTAGAAAAAATGTTAGATTTTTTTGGTCTTCTAGCATATTCTTCAGGATCAGCTGTCTTTGTTCAGTTTTCACTATTGAAACTAGTAGATGAGAACATACGATTACATCATTATTCATAAGCTATGTTTTTTCTTATTCAATTATCAAAACAATCATACAGTTACCTGTTCGTGAAAAGAGAAAAATGAAAAATTACCGCATATATATGTGCAGACCACGTGAATTGTGATAACATCAACTCATATAGACTTATATTCTTATTCTCACCATCATCTATTCCTTTATTCACACATTTATCTACGGTTCTATCCATCTGATATTATGTAGATATTATTTTTGTTGTTAAAGATACTATTTTGTATCCCATCTCACATAGAACTAATATGGTACTCAAAACACATCTCTTCCATAAAGGATATGATTTTTTACATGGTGTAAACCTATTTCTCTTAATGACATTTTATATGACTCAAGTACAAACTGCCTTGAATGTCATAAAGAACAGAAAAAAAAATTGAATCGAAGCTGAGAAACTTACATTAATAGGAAAAAAAAATAAAAACATGATAGAAGAGCTAACGAATCGCCGATTTGGGAGGCGGAGGGTCTCCTAATATGTGTGGAGGCTTTAATAAATATGGCCTTTTCTGATAGACATCAGTACAATTTCCTTTCGACAAGAGTAAAAGAAAAAAAAATATGTACATAACCCACAATTATTTTTAACTATTTTTTATGTGACAACCTATACATCACTTCCTCGGTCGAGTAAAATAAATATGGTGTCTTCATGAGGATAAACACGATTTTCTTTTGAGTAGAATAAAATTTTCAAACTTTTTTTTTGGTCGGAATAGATTAAGTACGATTTTAATTACCTGTAATCCGTTATTAAGAAAACAAGAAAAACTTTCTGAATCACAAGAAGCAATGGAAGATAAATCGAATAGTACAACTGACAATGTTTCATTAAATAACAGTAAGTTATTTTTTATGCATATTACTTTATTAACTATTGTTTGTAGACATCAACAATGATGATATTCATGAAAATTTATCATCGCAGTACCATAATATTGATTTTCTACAATCAAATGATGATGATAATGATGATGATGATGAGAAAACATCTGAACCGATCGCTGAACAAGCAGGTCAGTTTGTCAGTTAGAAAAATAATATATTCAGTTTTCCGATTCATTTAGATGCCTTTATCAACGAAGGACATTTGACTAACACACGCATTCTTGGACTGATACAAACAAGAGTTTTATCCATCCCAAATGTTGATAATCAAAATATTGACAATATCAATAACAACATTATCTCAGATGTAAATTCACAACTCGCTAGTACTAGTGTTCAGCCATGTGTACAATCAATAATACGTATGATAATGATATGATTTATACCAAAATTTATTTTTCTTGTTCTATTGAAGATGATTCAGAACTTAATGTGAATCACACAACTACAGACAATAATCAACAGCAAATAAAAAAGAAAAAACATATTATGATTAGCTATAATCATGCATCAGCATCAGATATTGCACAAAAAATCTATGATCGTCTCACGGTAAATAATTCTTGAGAGTTAGTTTTAATTGCGTTAAACTACGTCTATCTCAATCAGATTATCAATAACATTATTCTTTATCTTCACAAAAAATATTTTTTTATGAAACACTATAGTTTATTGATTGAATTATAAATTAAACAATTCGCTGTTGTTTTTAAGACAATATTTTTCACTAATGAATAAATAAGTTTTAGTAGTTCTAATTTTGATTTACAAAAAAATATTGATACATCTTTTTGTCTTTAAAAACATTAATCTTGGTTTGTATGAATAGGAACGACATTATAATGTATGGTTCGACAAGAAAGATCTACACGGTAGTGTACTTGATAGCATGGGTGAGGCAGTCGAAAATTCTTATGTTGTTCTTCTATGTATAACTGATGGTTATTCTAAAAGTGCCTTTTGTACAAAAGGTAAGCTATCAATATCTGTTAATCTCAATGTAATAATAATAGAATCTATTTCTTAGAAGCTAAATATGCTGTTGAAAGAAAAATTCCCGTTATTCCTTGTATGGTTGAAAAAACATTTCGTCCATCCGGTGGTCTTGGTATCATTAAATCTGATCTCAAGCATATTGAATTGTTCGATGAAGATAAATTTGATGAAAAATTCGAAGAATTAATTGATGAAATCAATGCAATTGAAATAGGATTAGGCATAAAATCTGGTAAATGATACATTTTTTTCTTACAGAAATATTTACATACATTTATTTTATTCTATGGAATATAGCAGCGACTATTATGGATATGGATTTCCGTGATCATTTCAATGCTTTTATTTCTGATCACATAGAATCCATTAGAAATTGTTATCTTCGTCGAGAAAACCTCACTGAAAGTGAATTTGGTACAATTCTCTACAAACTTATTCAAGGATTTTCTCCTGAAACTTTAGAATCGTTTCAAAACGATCAATCTAACAGTGTTGATACTAGACAATTAGAAACAAACGATAATGATTGTCTTATTCAACATCTTCTAGAAAATGATAAAAAATTAGCAGAATTAGTTCGAATTCAAGAAGAAATTTATGCTCGTAATCAACAATATCTTCTCAAATATGATGAACGAATAGCAGCATTTATTCGTTTTCAAGAACAAGCTAATACAAATTTTATGCAACAACAGATAAATCAAAATGAACGTTTGTCATCACTTATCCATGTTCAAGAAGAACAACAGCCAAATTATGCTTATCTACAACAACAACTTTTCAATCAAAATCAACCATCAATACAACTTGAACATAGACAACAAGAACAAGAAAAAAATGATCGTATCTCAGAACAACTTATACAACACATTCAACAATTGACAGAACTTATTGTCAGACAACAGCAACAACATGCGAGGGATACTGAATCTTTGCATCAATTAGTTAATCGATCATTAGAGAACCATAATCAATATTTGTCACTACTTCATGCACAACACCGGCAAGAAAATCAATTCGATTTCAATCTATTCATGAAATTGGTCCAAACTATTATATTACTGTGCACTTTGCTGGCAGTTCTAAAAAAATGAATAAACATTCAATACTATGTTATACATCTATTTGAATAGTTTTTATAATATATACATCAGGCATAATTGCAATGATTGTTGTTGAACATGGCAATAAACAGACTACAAGCAGAGGAAATCTGACCTATGTAAAAGGTTTTTGATATTTACACGTGTTTCTTGAATAATAAAAAAAAAACAAAGGATCATGTCCTCATCATCGGTCTGTGAGACAAGATATTTTACCAACCTATCATCTGGTCTGCTATGTGATGCTTTATAGTAAAGAAAAAAAGTATTTTTACAATTTTCGTGTTAACATTTTTGTACATAGTTTTACTCAAGGTATTACAATACTAAAATAATTAGAACAGGCGTTAAATATTTTGAACACTTCTTCATAATTTTTTTTGTACAATTTCAGAACCTAGTGAACAACTATTTTGTTGATAGAGTTTTGGCAGAAGTGCTTCAGATAGATAAAACACTGGTCGATTTGATGCTCTCGGAAAATTAAAAAAAAGGCGATTAGAGAGTACTATGTGGATGGAATGTGAAGTGTGTGTGCAGTTATCGGTTAAATGAACGTCCATATCCAAGACACTAACATGCTTAGCAATAACTGTGCACTTTAATGTGTTAAATAAATCGTTAAAAACCATCATAAAGAATTTTAACAAGTTTCTTTTTAAAATCGTATCTTACTGGCTTTCTTTATCGTATTCTTTTCTTAAATAATTACTTCGTCGCACTGTAAATTGAAAAAAACCTTTTTTACAAATATAAATATGTCATAACTTTCTATTACTATTATTTTTATATTTTGAAGTAGAAATGACAAAACGTATTCTATTCATCGGTCCAACTGGTTCAGGTAAATCAACGCTAATTAATGGTTTATTCAATGATGATGTCAAGAAAGAATCTTTGTTAATACCTGCTATTACTAATGATACATCTTCTGGTGTTACATCTGTTTTTACTACTTATTATGATTGTCCAACATATGCTTATACAGATTCTATTGATTTCGGTGATAATCGATTTGATCATAATGAAATTTTTCGCTCTTTAAAATGCGTCATTAAACAATCCATGGTTGGCTATAATCGAGTTTATTTATGTTTGAGATACGGTCATATATCAAATGACATACATCATTATATTGAATTTTTGACAACAGTATTTGATCAAGGTATTCTAAAGTACTGTACAATTGTCTTTACGCATTGTAAAGATAAATCAATGACGACACAATTGTATCTAGAAAAAAATAAAAGTGACAAAGATATATGTAATATTATTAAACAAGTCCAAAATGTTATCTTTGGCGATAATAATGTAGATGATGACGAAGAAATCGATAAAGTGCTACTGACTAGAAGACAAAGGTGAGATAGAATATCTAGTAAAACTCTTAGAAGCAGATGGCCAAGTAAGATACGAAGAATACTATGGTGAATGCCCAATATGTTTAGATTTAATGTGGTCAAAAAATGCAAAAATAACAAAATGTCATCACGTATTTCATCAGCAATGTTTATTACAACTCACAAGACGAGTGTGTCCTATTTGTCGCAAAAATATCAAATTATCTCACGAAAAGAAATAAATTTTGAAAATAACTTTTTGAATAACGAGCATAAATAAAATACAAGAATGACGCGACTTTTTTTCTCAATCTTTAAAGGATGAGTCTTCAGAGCGTGATATACTGGTCCATTTGTCTGCGACTTGCCTAGTCAAGAATTGAAGCCGCGTTTCTTGGTGTGAATGCGTCTATGAAAGAATATTCAAATATCCGTATAATCAATTTGACTCTTTGCCAAAGATCATTGTCCGGCATATTTAGAATTGATGCTATATAAGTGGATATAAGTATGCCTTATCATAAAAATAATTTTATGAAAGTCAAAAGACTAAGAATATGAAAATTTCAACAGTATAAAAAACATTCGAAGGTATGGTCGTCGTTCAAATTATTATAATGATTTCATCCCAACTAAAAAAATCGTCCGATGGCTTTGACATTATATCTGTTCAAAAGGATTAGACGATCAGAAACAAGATATATAATCTTTACACAATAAAGTAATTCATAAATGATTGACGCTAAGATAAATAGTTTTATAATAGATGAGGGTTGAGCAGAACATTGTCGCGATTGAACCTTGCTAAAGGCTGTCATCTATCTATTATAAGTTTAGAATAACAATAGTAGCTGTCATGTTATAATCAAATGAATTGATTTGATTCAGTTTCATCAACTGTCTGACCTTCCTGTATGTTCAGTAGAAGCCATCGATTCCAAAATTTTCGAACTGGAAACCGGTTTATTGAACGTTTCTGATACCCGATCGAGTCATACTTCCATCGTTTTGATCACATTTTCTATTCAAAACCGGATAGTCACGTCGAATATATGAGATACTTCTGAGGCAAAACTGGACAACTAACATTAGATTGTTTCAAAAGGTCTAAATCATTGCCACACAGAACACAATTGTGTAATTCTATTGAAGACTATAAAATTCAAAATGTAAAACAGTTTTTAATCCCTCAGACTTGTACAGAAAAGTTTACTCTACAAAACTTACTATTTACTTTAATTCTGCCTACTATAGAAACTAATAATTTGTTTAGTGGAAACGCATCAATTACATTTCGATTATTGTAATATCTCATTTTTTTTACAAAAAGCAATAATGTTGAGTTGAAGTTGTTCCAAGAGACAGGTTAAGAACTGCGTTGAAACAGCTATTTTGCTTTGTACAGGCGCAATGTTTGACTTTTCACAAGATTTAGTAATATCACATGGAAAACTATACATCCTTGATATATCAAGATAAGAGCTACCGTTAAGCAAAAATACTAACGCAACAGTACTTCTTTTTTGGTTTTAAACAAAATTAGTTTTAGAACTTGTTGAACGATCCTCGTATATTCTTTTCTTATTATCTTATTGTCAATATTCTTAACTAAAATATTATTAAGAAAGACCATATATACCATGGAGACATGTGTTCGCTCAAGAAGAGTTAATTGTCATTGATAACTTTACTCTTACTCATTTTGATATATATATATGTGATAAGACAACTTATGTTAAATATTAGGTATAAAAGTGATAATAAAAAGTCACCTGTATTGTAGGTTCTCTATGATATATCTTTCAACACATAGAAATTTATCTATGAATTAGTGTTTAGATTTTACATTGATTAAATAAATCTTTATAAATATAATTATTAATTCATATAAGATGTGATCAAATTTTAAATTCGAATTTATTCGATGATATTGAAACTATATTATATTACTCTTTTCTAACGTTGATGATCTCCATTTTTGCATATATAAATAAATTTCATTTAAGAAAACATTTCGAAAAAAAAAAACTTTTCACTTAACAATTCAATTTTTATTCAAAAGATTATATAATCTTTAAACGAATTCATTTCTAAGTGTCTGCATATTATTTCTATTCTTATGTCATATTGTTGTTTTTTCTTATCATCGACTTCATGTCTATATATCGAACAGCAATATTAGTTTGAAGGAGAAAATATAATGCTATACAACAACAAAAAAAGGGAGTGTTTATATCGATTAATAATCCTCTCGTTGATATCTTGGTATGAAGGAAGCCAACACAGAGAATTAATCTAGAGTGTTTCTCTGAACGGTAATTGTACAATAATTTGCTTCATTTTAGTTTCAATACATTAAAAATTATTCAAACGAACAACAACAACAAAAGGTACATAAGTTTTTATTTCTTTCAAATTCTTTCTTTTTCTTGTCCAGGTGTTTCGAGCTTTGTTTGCATATACATACATCATTTCTTTTGTTGTTTTGATTTATTTATCAAGAGAAAAGACTAGAGAGAGAGAGAGAGAGAAAAAAAGAAGAATGAATGAAGTAAGATGTTCATGATTGTCAAGGTTGGTTATATTTATTTTCTTTGAGGTTTTGAATAATCATGATCATAATATTAAATTAATAAAACAAACAGATAGAATAACTGGAATTAATCATACCGAATGAAAACTTATTACCAATGAACATTCATCATCAGAAGGAATATAAAAATTTATTTATTGAGAAATAGAAAACTATTATTCTTCTTATATAGATTATAAATGACTATCATGAAGAATTAAGAATAAATTTAAAAAAAAAATACAAATACAATAGAAAATATTGTTCAACAAAATCCAATTTTATCTCAATCGAATCAAGATTCACGAGTAAATCGTTCATTAGAAACAAGTCAAGTTGTTGCGGTTACAGCATCTATTAATTTAAAAGTATAAAGTCTTTTGAAAATAATAGAATGTTTTTTCTTGTTGTAAATTACTTTTAAATATGATTTTGTAGAATCTTCTTTCCTATCAATATGTTTTGAATGCAATTGAATGTGATTATCATTTATATGAAGGACAAGAACATGAAATAACTATGAAATTATGGTTAAAAGGACAAACACTGATTGCAATTTTACGTTTTAGATATTTATTACAAGATCTTAATATAGATGATAAAGATTTTTCTGAAGGATTAAAGGTTTGTATGATTTATATTCACAATAATTTACGCAATATTTACAAAGAAATTTCTGTTAATACATATTTGATTATTGTTTATTAAAAATATGATTAGAATTTTTTTTTTCTAGATAGGACAAATTCATATTTTCTTAAACAAAAAGAAAAGGGTTATAACAAATGTGTTTTTGTGTATTCGAAATATATATATTTTTTTGTACTGTTATTCTGAAGTATGTGTATGAGAATGAGATTTAATTTCTACACATTGTTATTGCATTCTTTAAGCACTTGTAAGATGTCTTTCCCAGACGGCTATATATAGTATTCTATTTATATGTAATAAGTATCTTGTTAATATTTTTATATAGAGATCAATTACATTTGAATTTTTTTTTATTTAGCAAATACGTGAAAAAATAAATTATGCTCATCATGATGTACATTATCTTCACGAAAAAAATCTTATACTTGAAAATCAGAATCATTTTCTTGAAAATGAATTTAAACGACAATTAGATAAAATAGTTGAAGAAAAAAATGAATATATTAATCGTCTTATACATATTATTGATCAAACATATACATGATCAACTCAAATAAATAATCGTATTATAATGATGAATATTATTCATCAAGTAAATAAATAATTTATTATAATCTAAAAGTTAAAATAATAGACATCAATTATTTTATTAGTAGAAAAAAAATAATGATTATTCTTTTTTTGCTTTTCTATGGAACCTTTTTGCTATTCAACAAAATGGATTCTATATGTAATTGAGAAGAAGAACAAGAATAAGCATATCTAATGTATACGTTATTATAATGAAAAATTCGGAGTCTCATCTAAATCTAAATTTTAACCAAGGTATGAATGAAGTATACTTTTACATATCTCATTATACAAAATACACTAACCTTGTGATTACTGTTGGTCACGGTAATTTCGATTAATTGGAGAATTTTTCCTACAGCTAACAAGCTTCAAATGTGCTCAAATTATAACAATAGAACAAGGCTAATCTGATATTGATTTTTTTTGCTTAGTAAGATCTTTATTAAAGCTTGTCGGGTTAGTGTCTCGGACTCGAGATTCTTACTGTTTGATCCTGTCGTTACATTTCGAAATATATTTTGTGAGCTTTTCTATAATTGTTAAAAACAAAATTTCTATTTTTCATTTCGTTGTTTATAAAACATGTGAAATGTCATTGATTATAATTTTGACCGTAATATGTAGAAGAAAAACAATGTAAAATATCGATATATTTGATTTCTTTTGTTATTCTTTATAGTAAGAAAAAAAAAGATAAACGTTTTTTTTTTTTCTTATAGTCATATATACTAGCAGTATTCTCAATTAATTGAGATTAAATCTGAAAACCTGTTGCAGACTTGAAGTATACGTTATAATGAACATTAAGATCAATCACAAAATAAAAATTCAATTTTTTTTTTCAAGAGTTATCCTTCCGCACAAGAACATACATCAGTTAGTTAAATTCCCGTACTTAGAATTGTTCGGAATAAAGCAACGAAATGAAATTCTCAATAAAATAGGTCAAATATGAGTGAAACTGTACAACATTTATTAGTTACATGTAATAATAATGTCTTACTTTTATTCATTATTGTAGAAAAATACCAATATTGATGGTTTCCTCTATTGTGCACTTTTTATTGTTGTTTATCGAATAATAAAGAAGATATATCCTCAGCAAAAACCACCATACATCAAACTTCTCGACTATTATTATAATTAGTTGTACAGATTCGTCTGAGGTTGAATAGTAAGATCGAATGAGACAGTCATTACTTAAGTCATTCACTAACGAAGGAAGTCCTTCAATAGATTAAACACTTGTGATTCAGCACTAAAGATATGCCAACTATAGTTCTGATGATGGACACAAGAAGAGAAAAAAAATTCTCGATGAGAACTAAAGATCATTATTACAGGGAGAATGTTACATTCTTACGGTAGGCTTGTAATTCAATGTCGTAGTTCTCTTTTTCCTGTTAAGTTACTTCTGGTTTTAGCAATTTTTTTTAATGTAAATTTATCATTCATAGGAAATAAGGCAAAAAATTGATATTATGTATCAAAATTATAGTAAAAAATTCTCTATAGAAGAGCTTTGCTTCATTCTTGTTATCTTCTAATGATACTAAAATACTGATAAATATATGTTGGCTAGCACACGTTTGAGATAAAACGTTGCTTTTATTCTCAGATACACTGCAACAAATATAATAATATTAATTCATCATTCTTAAATTTAAGACGCAGATTATACTATCTTATATATACATAAGGAGATACAACCTGTATATAATATAATCAATGTTATTGTAAATATATATTATCAAAAAATCTTTTGTCCAAAATCGAGCATTTGCTCTGTGATAATAGAATCAGCACAAAACAAATCCCGAAGAAATCTATAATCACCATAATAGAAAACTATGCTACGAATTACGATCATATTTTTCCTCTTATTCCAACATAATAATGTCTTATGTATACTCACGTTATCTTCTTAGGTAACAATTCAAACGCATTATCTACAGCCATTCATCTCAGACGATGATCAACATGATTCCTTTGTGTGTCGATTGCAAACCTGTTCATTTAGAATTCAATATAACCGGTATGAATTGTGATTTAATGGCACAAAACAGAACTTATTTTCCTTAGTCACTCAAATTCGCGGATGGGAGTCAATTGCAGTCGATGTTGAATGAGTATAAGTTGATTAATATTATCAGGATTGAATTGTGGCCGACTCTTGGAGCATTTAGTTATTGTACATGAGTTTATGCTAGAATCCAGGGAAAACAAGCATACTTTGTACTTCTAGATACTTTTCCATACTTGTCGACATGTATATTTGTTCCTATATGGTTTAGATAATTTTTTACTTAAGGATTAGGAGAAACATAGTCAGTTTTTATCATATAGATTCTCATTTAAAAAATAATAATAAACAAATAATGAAAGTAGAACTTATAGTAGAAGATGAAGTATCAGTCCTCTTTTTATTAGAATTTTTTTAGCGCTAATATATTCAAAGAGAAAAAAACGGCATGTTATTTTTCTTTCTCATACTAATTAACAGAAAACAAGAAAACACATACGTAGAAAGAGAACTGTTACTTGTTTGAACTATAATAATAAATAAAAAAAAACAATGTTGAACATCTAACAGAAACGAATACTAATATTCATAAAAGATTACAATATCAATGCATGGTAATAAAACAGATAATATAAAATTGACATACGAAATGAATCGAAATAATCTATGATTGATAATAAATAGAAAAATTAGGGTGTGAGTGTCGACTCTAGCATTGACGGCAATCACACTCACACCTACACTGCAAAATTACGATAAATGAGAATAATCAATATTTACATAAACAATCAGTATCTTGGCTCTTAACTGATACCAATAGTCATTTATCAAATGATCGTCTTTTTCGTGTTACTGGAGCAAGCAGAAAATACTAAAATCGATATTGTTTATTTTCTTCTGGTTTTCTTTATTTTTGCTTTTTAATAAATATCTTAAGCTAACAAAAATTGTCCTATCTACCTTTAAATATCTCTATACTTATAAAGTACTTCAGAAGTATAGAAGTATGCTTTTTTACTCCTTGCTTTTCGCAAAGACTTGGTTACACAGCACATTTGTTCATTTAAGTTCTTCTCTTCTGAAAATGTACGAACTCAGTAAATCTTGTAGGGAAGCTACTGAATGTACCCGTCTTAACGACATTCCTAGTATGGGATTATGGGAATAGTGGTGGATGTCGATTCGAACATTGGTCATTTCGAGCTCGATTCACACCATGAACTTATGGCTATGTGGATGAGGGTGCGAATTAACGAAAGACACACATCTGCACATGCACATGTCGGAATTTCCCAATTTATTTTTTCTTACCTTGGAATTTACCGGCATTATCTGCGCTTTTCAACTGGGTTTTTTTTTCATAGGATGATTCATACGTATATATACATGTATATATAAATACAGCTTTCAGTCAGTTGCTCATTCATTTTCGTAAATAAACTACCTTCTGTCTATCGTAAATTTTCTGTTAACACCATTCAAGTTCTACTCTTAGATGGTAAGCTTGTTTACTACAATCTTGCCTTCTTATACATGTTGATTGTTTGAGTAGAACTTTGAAACTCAATGACCTCATTCAATTTATAAAAATTGATCCTTTTTTGTTTAAACTGCATGAATAAAAACTGTCAGTATATTGAATTAGATTTGCATAGCCCTATATCTATCGATTCAATTAAATTATCTAAACATGTAAAAAGATTATTATTGTACAAATACACACAACTGTCATGAAAAGCTTTCGGTCAAACCCCTATAGGATTTATGCGTGAATATGAATGAAGATACTTTAATCGTGCATTAGGACTCGCTTAGCACTGGTCTCAACCGGTGATGATTTAGAGCACTTTTCTCGTTATATAATTCAACGTTCACTAATAACCGTATTTCACAATATCAGATGTCTTCCATTTTTCTTCCTTGATTAAATTGTATAGTGACAGCACACGAATGAGTCATGCTGTAAAAAATGGGCTTTATTCTTACACACGCACATTTTTCAATTGTGCTTGCTTTTCATTCTTTCTTTGTCTGCTTGCAGGAAAGCATGGCCACATCAACAGAAGCATCTACTTGCACAACAAATATTTGCACACCGTCATCATTACAAGAGACTCTTGAAGTCTGTTGGCTTGATAGTCACATTTGTGAAGATGGTCAACATCAACAAATAAAATCTTATTGTCAAAATATCTCGCGACTCATTTCAAAATGGCAATTTTTCGATTCCTGTGATAAGTTCAATGATTATATTGAAAATAATCCCAATATGAAGCTGATTTCAATTATGTCTGGTAGATTTGCTCGCCAACTACTTGCACTTGTATCACCTAGGGAAAATATACATAGTGTCTACGTTTTTACCATCAATATTGAAAAAACAAAAGAAGCACTAGGCGAAGAACCAAAACTTAAAGGCGTATTTAATGTGGAAAATATATTGTATGCTCAACTAAAAAATGATTTATCTCAGTTGTTTTGGGAAGAAGGAAAAAAATTGGTTGCATCCAACCGTGATCAAGAAGCTCATGTGTATTTTGATGAAGCTAAACGTTTATCGAACATTTGAGATAAGATTTAGTTAGAAAAAGAAATGACAGTTACTTCATATACCGAATGTTCTTTTTTATAAGTATTGACAGTTTTTATGTAAACAAAAGATAAACATTTAGTTGGCTTCATTTTTATTGTAGGTTTTTGAGTCGAATGGCAAATATCAAGCCGAAGACTCACTATCACCATGATAGTTTCACACGGAAACGTCTTTCAGTAGCAAAACCTCAACATACATGTGTAGCTAGATTGATAATGGACGAAGAATGATATCTTTAGTTTTCTTCATTTTTACTATTTTCTCAAGAAATGCAACCTGAATTCGATTCAATGAAATATCTTACGTTTGTCTATATCAGAAAACTGGACTATATATGCATGAGTTGTCGTCAAAA